CCTTCCTCTTTCCTTAAACTAAAGATAATACTTATTAAGAACGCATTACTGTCCTTATCGAAAAAGTACACACTTAGCCATAAACTAATGGAGGCTACACAAGAAAAATGGAGCTTGGAGTTCACAAAAGACTAAGAGACCATAGCTAAACTTCATAAAGCAACTCCCAATTAATTAAAAAGTTTACCATTAGCTTCCCTTAACAGTATTTACTAAAGTATTGAAACTGAGTGCACCCCATTTGACAATATAATAAGATTAAAAAAATATGAGCTAAAACCAAACCTAAATCCCCAGCATCTTCAGAGAGGGCTAGTTGAATAACACCCTTTAAATCATAAGTTGGGTGTGCTGGTGGCTTCACTACTAATGACTCCACTGCATTTTTGGTGGCTATTGCTGACATTTTCACAACCAACCTGCAATTTTTCACACAAACTTTAATCAGAAACTCATAAAAAACAATTTTTATCAGTATATAACAATAAAAACATGATTTTCACGAATCTTTTTTCTTTCTTTCTGAGTGAAATTGAGTGGTTTTAAAGAAACCTTGGAGCTGTAATTGCATGAGGATGCACTATTGCAGTGAAAGGAAAAACTTTAGACATTGAAATTTTGGGGTGTGAAAGGATTTTTGTAGCAAATTGCTTTGCTGAGCTTAATGTTTTCTTGGGGGTTGTGAGAACTTCGAAAAAATGACAAATATAGTCCCTTATGTTTGAGGGTAAGTTCAAAGTAGTCCCTTAAGTATACTCTGAATAATATTGGTCCTTTAAGTTTGTCAAACTTAACACTTTTGGTCTCCTAAAAGACTTAATGAGCTCGTCTCTTAGATTTGACGAGTACTATAATAAAAAAGATTTAACCTTAAACACTAGGAAAGGCCTATCAAATCCTAAAAAATATAATAAAAAATTGCACTAGAGTCAAAAGAGAAAATAGCAAAAATCATACCTCAAAAAGTCTGCATCAGACTCTAAATATATACGAAAAATAGCACAAACTACAAAAGTTTATACCTCTGCATATGAGTTCCCACTAAATCTCCTTATTTTTTACGGTTCTCGTCAAATCTAACAGATATAATTAGTAAATTTTGTACAAAGATCAAAAGTATTAAATTGTTTACAAACTTAAAGGACCAAAGCTGTTTAAATCATACTTAAAGGATAACTTTGAACGTATCCTCATATATAAGGGACCATTTTTGTTATTTTTAAAAAGGAAAAGAGGGCTTTTTAAAAACAAAATAGTCCTCCGATTACATCAATTTGTTGCTGTTTTGGTCCATATGGTTTAACAGGGTGACCATAAGAGGTTATCCTTCACTTCCCTTTTATGGAACATTGGTATATGCCTTTCAGAATACCAAATTTGTAAAGAAGCAAGATACAACATTCGATTTGTTGGGATATACTGTTAACCATGCGGTTTAGACATAGTATTATATTTTATTCTCTATGGAATATTTATTTATTTAATTTATTCAATTCAATAAAGTACTATTTTAAATAGATCATTTGTTACACGTGTGTCCTTTTTGTTATGTAGTAGACAATTTAGTGTATGGAGTCTTAGCTCATGCACAGAAGATTAAATTGTTGGTTCTCATAATTAATAAACTATGTTCACAATCAAAGATATTGTTGGACAAAATATCTTGATGATTGTAGCATGTAACGACCCGACCGGTCGTTTTGAGCCCTAGCGCGCCGTTCAGCAGTTCGAGGCCATGAGCAGCTTCAATTCAGGCATTATGACTTGTACGCGTGGTCGGAATTAAATTTCGGGAAGTTCGAAGTAGACTTGGAGAGGAAATTCTCATTTCAGAAGCTTTAAGTTGAAAGAATTAGCTAAGATTGGATTTTTGAGTAAACGACCTCGGAGTTGGGATTCGAAGGTTCCAGCAGGTTCGTATGATGATTTCGGACTTGGGCGTATGTCCGGGTCGGGTCTTGGATGACCCGGGAGCGTTTTGGCGCCTATTGTGGAAGTTAGCATTTTGGAAGAAATTTTATAAGTTTGGATTGAAGTGCATTTCAGTGTTATCGATGTCCGTTTGGGATTCCGAGTCAGGGAGTAGCTCCGTATGGTGATTCTGGAGTTGGGAGCGCGATCGGAAGTGAATTCAGAGGTCCGTGGGTCATTTTGGAGTCGTTTGACTGGAAACAAGCTCTCTGCCCTATCGGGGTAGGGGTAAGGTCTGCGTACACATTACCCTCCCCAGACCCCACTTTGTGTGATTTTACTGGGTAGTTATTGTTGTTGTTGTTGTTGGCTAAAGATAGAAATTTGAAGGTTTTTGAGAAGTTTGACCGGAAGTGGACCTTTTGATATCGGGGTCGAAATCCGATTCCGAAAGTTGGAGTAGGTCCGTAATGTCGAATATGACTTGTGTGCAAAATTTGAAGTCAATCGGACGGGATTTGATAGGTTTAAACATCGAAAGTGGAAGTTTAAAATTCTATAGTTCATAAAGCTGGGATTGGAGGTCGATTCTTGGTTTTAGCGTTGTTTTATATGATTTGAGGCCTCGAGCAAGTCCGTAATGTGTTTTAGGACTGGTTGGTATGATTGGTTGGGGTCCCGGGGGCCTCGGATGGATTTCGGATGGTTAACGGATCGAAAATGGAATTTTTGAAAGGGCTGAAGCTGCTGGTTGCTGATATAACCGCACCTGCGAAATTTGGGCCGCAGGTGCAGAGCCGCAGAAGCGGCCAGGAGAGCCGCCGATGCGGTTTTGGCCAGAAGTGAAGAGACCGCAGATGCGGTCATGGAGTCGCAGAAGCGGGACCGCACCTGAAGTGGACGAGGCGCAGAAGCGGAAAAGGGGAGCCTGGAGGAAACCGCAGAAGTGGTAGATTGGCTCGCACCTGCGGAACCACAAAAGCGGTCAAGGGACCGCAGGTGCGGAAAATGCTGGGGGCAGAGAGTGTTTTAAAAATCGGGACTTGGCCATTTTCTCTCATATTTTCTTGGCTTGGGCGATTCTTGGAGGGTTTTCAAGAGGGGATTTTCATCATCAACAATAAGGTAAGCTAATCCCATCCCTCTTGAGTTAAATATATCGAGTATATATGGATTTTAGCATGTAAATTGGTAGAAATTTGGGGGTTTGAGTAAAACCTAAAAAATTGATATTCTTGGAATTTGACCACGATTTTGGTATGAAATTGAGAGTAAATTATATATTTGAGTTCATGGAGTCATGGGTAAGCTTAATCTTCAAAAATTTTCGGAATCCGGGCACGTGGGCCCGAGGGCGTTTTTGTCAACTTTTCGATCGGGATTAGGAATTGTTATAAATTGGATTAATATGAGTAGTTTATCGTATGTTAATGAATTTGCATAATCATTGGCTAGTTTTGGGGTATTTAGCATCGATTCAAGTCTTCGGAAGGGCGTGGAATGCCGGTTATGGATCTTCGGAGTGAGGTGAGTCTCCTTTCTAACCTTGTAAGAGGGAATTATCCCCATAGGTGAAATAATTGACTATGTGCTCCTATTTGTGGGGGCTACGTACGCACGAGGTGACGAGAGTCCGTGCGTAGCTACTAATATGTGTAAGTCCGGGTAGTCTAGGACCCAAAAGCATGCTATAGTTGGGATATCTGTAATCTTATTGACAGTTGAATTTCTTAAATCCTATCGAATTGGTAAATGAATTTCTAAGGGAATTGAACTTCATTTCTTAAATCGTTAAAAGAGAATTGGCTTTTATTTTGATAAATGATCCCCGATAAATTCTTAATTTGTTGTTTGAGCATGTATTTCTACGTGTACCTGCGTCGCATGTATGATTCGCGAGCAGGGTGATTGTTTATTTAAATTTGACCGCGTCGCATGTATGATTCGCGAGCGGGGTAATAGACGCATCTATGGTTCGCGCTGTTCGACCCTCAGCAGTGCACATTTTACATTTCCGTTGGATCGGGCCGTACGACCTCGGCATGAATTGCGCGTGCTTGTATTGCTCGCCTTGAGATTTATTGATATTGCTGTCTGCTCTCCCGACTTGAGATAATTGTTAATTGATGGATTATGAATCCGAAGACTTTAAATACAAAGGGAACTTTCACCTGTTTAGTGACTCATTGCATTTTACTGTTGTTCTTAATAAATCCGTGGGTCATCGCATTAATAATATTATTACTGGACCTTTAGTAAGTGTCGAAGTTGCCATCTCGTCTCTACTTCTTCGAGATTAGGCGGGATACTGACTGAGTCACGTTGTTTTTGTACTCATACTACACTTCTGTGCATTTTTGTTGCACAGGCACATGCACCTCTAGTGGCCTAGTGGGCGTAGCAGCATGGTTGACACGGAGACTAGGCGAGCTGTATTTCCTCGAGGCGACCCGCAGCTAGTATAGTCTCTCTCAGAATTCTATTTATTTTCTGTCCAATTGTATCCCGGACAGCTGTTGTACTTTATTCGAGTTTTCTTAGAAATTGCTCATGCACTTGTGACACCGGGTTCTGGGATGGTTGTAAAGTATTTTTGTATCAACTGCTTATTATTTAATTTGATTGAGACGATTATCATTTAAATTGGTAAATTTGAAGAAAAGTCATAGTTTTCAAGAGTATTAAAATGAGAATTTAATTAAGTATTTTGGGTTGGCTTGCCTAACACTGGTGTCCGGCGCCATCACGACCTTTAGTGGAATTTGGATCGTGACAACATGGAATCAGAGCACTAGGTTCCTAGGGTCTCACGAGTCATGAGCAAGTCTAGTAGAGTCTCGCAGATCGGTACGGAGACGTCTGTACTTATCTTCGGGAGGCTACAGGACTGTTAGGAGTACTTCCCTTCTTGATTCGTCATCGTGCGATTTGATTCCTGGAGGCTTATGCCCCTGTTCCTTCCTACTCAATCCTACGTGACGCGAACCGTTTGTTATAAATCGAGAATTGAAGAATTGTAATGGTACTACCGAGGTGGTGCGGGATGTTTCTCCCTGCATAGTTGTCTGAGCTATTATCGTCGCCCTGTGGAAGGATATTCTGTCGTTTCAGCTCAGTAGCGGTACTTCCGAGAGCTCTGGGGCTAGGCACAAGTTTCCATGATGCTATGAACGCTTGTTCCGCAGTATTGATATGATGGTAGGATGTTTACCTATGTGTCGGAGCAGTGAATGACTTGAAGGGAGGTTTACTCAGTGCATGATCTAGGGATTCGGTATATTATTCCCGGCAGGGGAAAGGCAAACGGACTAAGAATGGTCAGATGTGGGCTGGTGGAGTAACGAGACTTGGTATTTGCGAGCATGGTGGAGTTTTCTTCTATGATGAGGTGTCGTTGTCTTAATTGAACGTACTCAGTTCGTCGATGTTATGATCTTCTACAATTCGCCTTTGGGATAGAATATTGTGTAATAGTATTGAAGTTGCGGCTTTCAGATATCGCGGGGTGCGGTAGTTCAGGATTGAATCAGTATTTCTAATGTCGACGGCTCGAGAAGGATGATCTCCGTAAAGGTTTAAAGTTAGTAACAATTTGTGGGTTCAAGTGCTACGAAGATAGATTTTATTAAGGCAACAACTGAGCAGCAAAGGATGAGGAAGGACACGTGGGGAGTGTCAGGCGGTGGTTAAAATTTCTAGAAGGCCGGGTATAAGAAGCAAAGGTCGAGTGGTCAATTAGAGGGGTGAGT